TAAAGTTTTGATTTAGAAATAAGTAACTTAATACTTATGATATTGAAACTAAATATATATTACATTTCAAAATTTAATAATTATGATTTTATTTATGGCTGAATAGTAAAAATATTGTTTAAGGGTATTTTGGTCATACTGTATTATTTTAACATAAATGTATTGCCAAAACGTGATCAAGGGATGAAACTGAAATTAATTGCAAACACAAGGACTAATTTGATTTCAAAGGGAAAAGTCAGGGGTCAAAAAGAATTTACCCTATATAAAAGGATATTATGTATGTGTTTGGTAAGAAAGGGTGGTGGAAAATGCGCATATTTGTTCTGTTTTTTTTTTTTCTTTCTTTCCTTTTTTTTTTTTTGAGCAACGCATATCTGTTATGTTTTACTTCATTGGTTTTTCCTTTTTCTTTATTTATTTTTATTTTTACAAAAAAATGCTAAAAATTCCGATTTAAAAATTATTCTTACCAAAAAATTCCAAAATTTATTATTGTATCTAAAAAGTTTCAAAATTAAAATATTAATACTAATTTAGCCAATTAGTAATTTTTAACTTATCCTATTAAACTATTTTATTTGAAGGACTAGATTATTCTTCAATATGTATAATAAATCATCTTCCAATTTTATATTACTTGTGACTTTGGACAAAAATATTTATTTTTATTATATATTAAAATATGCTAATTTTGATAATGAATTAATTTTTTTTTTATGTTGTTATTCTTATTACCATTGAATTATTTCACACTAAATTTCATTTATGGGTACTTTGTTAAATTTTCAAAAAAAAAAAAAACATGGAGAGAATTAGGGAGATGATTAATTTTGTTATATTTATCTTGTATTATATATCACATTATAATATTTTGATAATGAATTAATTACTTTTTTTTTTATATTGTTATCCTTATTACCCTTGAATTATTTCACACTAAACTTCATTAACCAATAAAATAAGTTACATAGAGAAAATTAGAGAGATTTGTGATTAATTTTGTTAAAATTATTTTCTTAAAATTCACTCATATTCACGTATCCTTTTTAATATTCAAGTTGAAGCATGAGTGTCAATTAATTTAAAAGAGAAATAGCGATTTGTAATAATAAATCATGATTACATCTTTTTTTAATCGAAAATAATTAATTTAGAATGTATGTTATCTAAGAAAAATAGTAGTTATGTTTCTTTATTATGAAAAAACAAAAGAAAAGAAAGAAAGACAGAAAAGAGTAGTTCATATTTTTTCCGAATTGTTGGATTTTGACTTTTTTTGTTTTTTTGTTTTTTGTTTTTGTTTTGCTGAAAGGGTAGAGATACTCGAAGCTGTTACTATCTATTTTCCATATGGAAATGATTAATCCATGTGGTTCAGCATGCATCAACTACTGATAATGATGATAATAATACGTCACCCTCTTTAATCGACATCCATGTGGACGTCGAGGAATATTCCCCTATGCCGGTTCCTTCGTTAACACAAAGTAGTGTTGACTTTGATGCTGCCCCCAACTTGTCTTCCTTCTCCCTTTCTCAAAATTCTTCCATTATTGCATTTCCACCATCTGAAATCAACATGACACGACCATCAAACAACAACCACCACCCGAGATTTCGGCCGACCGTCGTCCTGGCAGCAATAACGGGCTTCATAATAAGTATCATAATAACAACTACGCTGTTGGGGGCCTTACTGCTTGTCATTAACAAGAAAGGCAAAGCGAATAGCAATATTCTTCTTGAGTGCGAAATAACCATTTCAGTTTCAAAGGATGGACGTAAGTCCAACTTTACAACTGTGACCGATGCGGTGAAAGCATCCCCAAATTACAGCCAGCTCAGAGTGTGCATCCACATCGGAGAAGGCGAATACAACGAAATAGTCACGATTGATCACGAAAAAACCAATCTCGTTTTGATTGGAGAAGGAATTGGGAAGACAACTCTATCTTCAAATGCATCCAACAAATATGGATCATCGGCCGCTGCAACATTAAGTAATGCATGCACACTCTTATCAACTTTAGTACTTCACTCTTACGTGTACACACACACACACACACACATATACATATATATATATATATATATATATATATATATATATATATATATATATATATATATATATATATATATATATATATATATCAATATTTTATGCGCAGGAGTAATCGGGGGTGAGTTCTTGGCTCAAGACATGACCATCAGAAATGGAGGACTACATAATGGAGTTGCGGTTGATAGCTCGGGCCGAGCTTCGGTCTTTTTCAGGTGTAAACTAGAGGGAGCCGCTGATGTGACTCTAAGTATAGATGGGGATCTACATTTCTACCGCGAATGCCATTTTTATGGTAAAAAGAATTTGGTTGTGGGATTGGCTCGTGCATTCTTCCAGAAATGCCAGTTTTACCTTGAGAAATCACATCCACAAGGAAAGATTGTGTTCTTCAGTCAATCTTCTCATATTTCAGCATACAAATTTGGCTTCGTATTTCACCTTTGTGAATTTTACGTCGTCAATACATCAGAAACAGAAGTAGAAACAGCTTTCATAGGGAGTTCGTTTGGAAATTATACATTTTACGTAATTATGGAGTCATACTTGGATCCAACTGTAACTGGATACTTCCTTGGTACTCCCCCGAACGTTACCTACTATGCCACTTTTCGCAACGTAGGATCCGGTGCAACAAAGGCGAATGTACCACAATTTGTCCATGTACTCGGAAGTGTGGAGGCTGCTTCCCATTATTCCTTGAGACGGTTTCTACTCGGAGATAATTGGATAACCAAAGCGGTTGACTACGATTTAGATATAGTGGAGTGACACTTTGGAATTGATCTCTTACATTTATTTATTATCCTTTAAAAGTAGATGACTAATATATTATATTTAATGTTCTCATCTCGTCTCTTCATTTTGTGAACTGCAATGAATTAGTTCTTAATTCTTCAGCATATATATATATATATATATACACGACACTTTTAATTCCCAACGGTCTGATATTTTGAAAGACCATTGACTTGTAATTAATACTGTCAAGAAAGAATTTTTATTTAAGAAAAAAATTATTTATTTGGTCAATAAAAATGGTGTGGTAATTACTGTCAAGAAAGAATTTTTATTTAAGAAAAAAATTATTTATTTGGTCAATAAAAATGGTGTGGTAATTACTTTTTTGTGTTGTAATAGCATAACTTCTAATTCAAAAAAGTTGTAGCGTTCAATATCTTGTAGACTATATACTTTACATGGATTAACTTGTGTTGTGCTCTTTTCTTCAGTCACACGAATGGGAGAGCAAAAGTCGGTCAGCGTACGAGAATTATTCCAGACAAGTTGAACAAGACATGCATCATCTCATGGTTTGTGTTTTTGCTTGACAATTATATGAGAGTGAGTATTTTTGTTGGATGCACCACTGAATTCCTATTAATTTCTTTTAAGAAGAATCATTGCGGCAGCTTGTTGCAAATTCAAATGTATCAACTTCCCTCTAAATCCTTGTTTGAAATCAAGGACCAAAGAAAACACTATTTGAAGACGATCAATCGCTTTTGGTACTTACGCGAACTCTGTTCTTTTTCCATTTGCAAATGTCTTTATGTGGTCGTTCATTTTTTTCTTCGGTTTTTTTTTTCATGAATGTGTTGACCTTACATGGATTGATGGCATTCTAACAAGTTCAAAGTCGGTCTACGGAAATTTAGTTTGAATATTGTTCGATTTAATATTTCCTGCAGGGTGGGGACTTTCTCCGGCAAGATGGTATTGCAAATTTGTAGTATACACAATTATTGATTTAACATATTAATACAATTTGTTCTTTTATAAATGCGTTGAACTTGATTGGTCCAAACAAGCTTCAATTATGGCCTTGCGTTTCTTCACGAGCATTGTCAAAATATAGTTTCGTCATTCCTAATAATGTCAGCCTTGCGTGTTAGTACACAAGTAGCAGGAACAGTGTAAGTGCATGTACTTGTTTAGCTTTCGCTTATTTTGTTGTAAGAAGTTCGAATTGTTGCTTATTTTTCCTTTTATTTACTTCGGGGCATATCTACCCGCAAAATATGCTTTAATGGGCAACTTACCGAGAAGGCGATCGGCGGTGTATATAGTTATGGGGTCCTCTTGCTCGAAATTATAAGTGGCAAGTAATTAGGTAGCACAAACATGTATATCATGTGGTTTTAAAGCAGAACTTAGATAATCTAGAGTTTATTAAAGAGCTTAGTTACATGGCCTAGTATGTAAATATTCATTTCAAGTGGTTTTTAGTAAGAGCTTTAGTTGTAGAGGTTAGATAGAGAATTTAACAAACAACCATACATTTCGGGAGATTTTTTGGGGAGGGAGAGTTTCACAAACAAACATACATTTCAAGTAATCTGTAAAGATATATGAAGTATAAATCTTAGTTATAGAGGTTAGGAGACAACCATGCGTTTCAAAAGATTCGAAAATAGGGAAGATAGAGCTTAGCAGACGTAATTTCAAGTGATTTAAGAAATAATTTAGATCGAGAGTAACTGGCTATTTCCAAAGACTTTAAAAAAGAGCATATACTATATAGAGATTACCAAACAACCATGAATTTAAAGAAATTTTAAAGTACAACTTGGGTAAAAGCTTAGCTAGTTAAATGTGAAAGACTTTTATTTAATTTTATGCGGAAAACTTTAATCACAGAATCTTGAAATCAAATTCATCTTAAGAACATAATCACGTAATAGAGATTATCGACATACCGTTCGCCATGGATTCCGATAGAGTCGATGAACGATAGCAATCTACAAGCCGAGCCTAGCCAGGCCTCCTTCGAATCTCCTTTAGAACTTTATTCGTAGCACACCTTCTTCTCTCTATCTCTCTAATATCACAACTCATTAGGTATTTCTGTAATTGATGGAATTCTCAATTGCGTCTGATGGTTGAGGAGAAGAGCTGTGGATTTCTTTTTTATAGACGAGAGAAAAGGGCCACGATTGATTTGTAACGGCAGAAGACAAATCCCACCCATCATGGTCTTTTATTGTCTTCAACGTTATAAATCAATTACCATAAAATCACCTTAATACCATGATTTGAATTACCCACAATTTAATTAATTAAAATAAAGATTAGTGGACCAAAAATTAAAACGTTTTAAAACGTAAACTAACATTCTCCCACTTGGTCCACTGAATCGATTTAAGAAACATAAGTTTAAAAAATATTCGACTCGGTGGGTTCTTCATACAAAACATTTGACAAGTGATCACGATTTTAAAAGAAAATTAAGGTGATTACCATAATTGGTAAATATAGTACTTTAATACTAGAACTAGTTTGAGTTATTATTGTGAATCATAGCGGTCATATGATTCATTCATCATATTCCCTTCTATGTATCACGCCACTAATAACCCTTACTATTCTAATCCATAATATCCCCTTTAATTTTGTCTTGTTAGGACAAACCCTGTTAAATTAATTCCAAATATAATATGTGCACACATAATTGGAAACAGGAAAACAGAAACATTTCATTAAATAAATTAAGTGTCAATTACATAATCATAACTCATCAAATCATGGATTGCTCAAAAGACCCATTCTAAGAACATGTTCCTCATATGTCTTTATAGGCAATCCCTTGGTTAATGGATCAGCAACCATAAGAGTTGTACTTAAATTTTCTATTGACACTTGTTGTTTCTGGACTCTTTCTTTAACAACCAAGTACTTAAGATCCATGTGCTTGGATCCACTTGAATACTTTCCATTCTTATAGAAGAAAACGGCTGCGGTGTTATCACAATATATCTTCAAAGGCTTAACAATTGAGTCAACAGCCTTAAGCCCTAAGATAAAATTTCGCAACCACAGTGCAAGACTCGAGGCCTCAAAACATGCTACAAACTCAGCATCCATTGTGGAAGAAGCAATAATACTTTGCTTTACACTCTTCCACGAGATTGCTCCACCAGCAAGTAGAAATACAAACCCCGATGTGGACTTTCTACTATCTAAACAACCAGCAAAATCGGAGTCTGAATAACCAATAACCTCTAATTGGTCCGATCTCCTATAAGTAAGCATGTAATCTTTTTTTTCCTTGAAGATACCTTATAACCTTCTTTGCTTCTTTCCAATGTTCTATTCCCGGATTACTTTAATATCTACCAAGTACTCCCACTGCATAACTAATATCTGGTCTAGTACAAGTCTGTGCATACATCAGACTTCCAATTGCTGATGCATATGGAATAAATTTCATTTTCTCCTTTTCCAAATCATTCTTTGGACATTGCTTTTCATTTAATTTATCACCTTTCGTGATAGGAGCATTAATGGCTGAACAAAACTGCATATTAAATCTTTCAAGAACTCGATTGATATATCCTTTCTGACTCAAGCTTAATAATCCTCGAGATCGATCTCTTTTGATCTCTATCCCAATAACATAATTTGCCTCACCCATATCAACCATCTTAAAATTCTTAGAAAGATAATTCTTAGTTTCGTGAAGCAAACCAAGATCACTACTTGCTAGTAAAATATCATCCACATACAAGACTGAAAAGATAAACTTGCTCCCACTGACCTTTAGATATATACACTGGTCAACAGTGTTTTCCTTAAATCCAAAGGAAGTAATGGTATCATTGAATTTTATATACCATTGTCTAGAAGCTTGTTTAAGTCCATATATGGATTTCTTTAATTTACACGCCAAGTGTTCTTTTCCTTGTTTTGCAAATCCTTTAGGATGGTCCATATAGATATCTTCATCTAAATCCCCATTAAGAAAAGCGGTTTTCACGTCCATTTGGTGCAACTCCAAATCATAATGAGCTACAAGAGCCATAACGATTCTAAGAGAGTCTTTCTTAGATACTAGAGAGAAAGTCTCTCTATAATCAATGCCTTCTTTTTGAGTGAAACCTTTGGCTACTAGTCTAGCTTTAAATCTTTCGATATTGCCTTTAGATGTTAGAGTAGGTGACCAACAAGCCAACATGTGGCTGTGGTCTTTCGTATTTATTATTGTAATAAACGAACCTTTATTCGTATTAATGATAAAACACCTTGGCATTCTATATCTTTGTCCCTTTGTCACAAGCATAGATATAGTCCTTACAGTTATTACAAGTACTAGTAATTGATCGTTAGGATCGTGAGATATTTACTTAAGTATTATAACTGTTAAACGTGTTCCTAGTCGAAGGGTTACGCCACTAATGAGGATATCGGCCTTTCCCATTAAGACTAGCACTTAGTGTATGTGTACTGCATCTCATCAGTAAACAGTATTGTGATATCGGCATGCATAAGTGGGTGCTCGTAAGTTGACGAGTTCACTGAACTCCCTCACCCTAGAAATCTCTAAGTGGTTCCCAATAATCGAGTAGAGATATCTATGGTATAGTTGTACACCATTAGTCCTTATGACCTAGACATCACCGTGACTTCACTAGAGGACCAGCTGTATCGTGACCTGTCCCTGAGTTCCACCGAGGACCATCCCAAGGGCCAGTGTTCGTGCAATCCGAAATCTAGTGGGAGGTCTGTGCATTGTAGTCGGGGATTCGATCGCTAGAATAGTCTTGGATGTCCTGTGTGTTCTGAAAGTTTGATTAAGGTGAAACGATTTTCATCTTAATCGTAACTCTAAGGGGACAAGTTTTGACCACAAAGGGTTGTGGGCCCACGGCTAGCTTACACCTGAACCATCGAGGGTCACACTGCTCGTGCACATGAGATCTTTGAATAAACGGTCAAAGATAATATATGTTTATCTTTGCATGATTGGAAGTCAATAAGATTGGGTCCAACAT